GGGAACTGTTGTCATGGTGAAAGCAGAAGTGCAAGAGGGAAATTCCAGTTACTCTAAGCATTTCAAAGCTTTGGTTATATCACATCCACTAACATTGGCCAAAGCATGTTATATAGCGAACCCAAGTCACAGGGCAGGAAAACCTACTCCCCTCATACAGATGGGCAACTGCTGGGATACATGGTAAAGAGGGTGGACATGGGGAGGTATGAAGAATGGCAGCCAATAGTTTGATCCACAAGACTTTGTAGAAGGCTGAGGCCGAGAATGTTTTGTGTAAGAGGGAGATTCATGTGGGTGGCTTTGGATGGTGTAATTACTATTTACATGCTCTCCCACTGTATCCATTCTTCTTTTTCTTCATAGTAATAGTTTTTAACTTGGCCTATGACTGTATTTTCCAGCTAAAGGCAGTATTTCCCAGAGTCCATTGCAGTTAGGTCAGGTGATTTGACTAGGTTCTGGCTAGAGTGGAAATGTCATGTCAGTTTTTCTCTAAAAGTGAGAATTTTATTTTCCCACCTCTCCTTGAGCCTGCAGGGTGGCTGTGAATGTGGCCCAGAGCCTCAATGGACTTTGCAGATGAGGGTGACAACCAGGGAATGACAGAGCAACAAGACAACTCCCTGGGCTGCTGTGTACTTATAGTTACATGCAAGAGAAGGACGCCTCCGCTGCATTTAGGCTGTGGTGATTTGTGATTTGGGGGTTCTTGATTTCAGCAGCCAAATCTGATACAAGTTGATAGGAACCTCTGATCCCTACAGGAAAGGATAACACAGAAAGAGGTACAACTTAATGTTCTTCAGCATTTACTGGTCTAAGGGAGCAAAGATACCAAGGAGCAGCAAAAAAATTTAGTCTTTTCCTGTGTCACCCCTCTTTAATATTTTGAAAGCAAGTGTTCTTAGTGAGATAAATGGAAAAGCCCAGTCTCCCTAATAGTAGGCAGAACAGGAAATGGTAGGGCTTGAGTATGGGAAATCTTCAGGAAAAGGAGAGAGCTGTTTGACATGTGTCTAGATACATCCCACGCTAGAAAGAAAAGAGGGGGATACAAACCTGGGCCTATTGTGCTCTGACACTAATTTGACCAGGGACTCTGGGAGGTTCAACCATTTGAGAATCTAGGGTGGTTTCTCCAAACCAGATCTCTCTTGTCTCTTTGCTCACTGACGGAGAAGGGATTGGTCTAAGTGCTTTGATCTAATGTCTACAAATTAGGATTCCTCCGCTGTCTGCCAGTTCTGTGTTTGCTGCCTGTGTTTTCTTAGGGCCAAGAGGAACAAAGCATAATGCAAAAAGCTCAGGATGTCGGTAAAATCACAGTTCAAGCATGGGAAACAGCATGACAGTGGAGGTGAGGTGGCTATGGGTTCAAGACCCATTTCTTGGGATACTTAACTCATCTGATCTTCAGTACCTTTGAGTAGATATTAGAAATAATCCATGTCAAATTCCTAACTCATAGTGGGAGTCATTACAGAGCCAACATATTGTACTGGTTTATGTTGTGGATGGCCCAGCCTCTTTGCTCCATGGCAGAGGAACTGACGTTTAAGCGTCTTATAACTTCTGCCACTTCCAGCAGTGATAGAATAGGGCAACATTAACGTTGATTAAAGAATGCAGAAAGCTCTGGCAGTAAATATTGGAACACTGGCCCAAGGATAATTCTCTATCCCTGGCCCAGGGGACTAAATCAAGACCCTTTAGTTAAACCCATTTAATGACCTGTCTGGATTGTTGGGAGAAGGCCCAGTCCTGGCAGCTGACTCTACCCACATTGCACAGTGATCCCTGATTTGCAAACTCAAAGCTAATAAGTCCTTGGAGGAGGCTGGAGTCTGGGATGTAATCCTGGCTATGGCAGGGCCAGCTGGCCCAGTTCATTCATCTTTATTCACTGAAAAATGCAAAATCCAGGGGATTTTGAGGGGAATAAAGGTTGGTTTCCTTAAGCCTGCTTTCCTCTGGCCTTTTGCCCACCTGGTGTACCTGGGCAAGCTGCATACTTCCTTGAGGAAGGGCATGTGGGAGAGGGAGGATGGATGAGTGGAGCAAAGTATTGCAAACATCTGCCTTGTGATTTAGAAAATATCTATCATGCCATTAAGAGATTCTTCCCAGGAAAGTAGAACTATTGTAGTCAGGAACAGATTCCTAGAAAAGCTGGAAACTTTTCTTGTTGAGTATTTCAGTAAGAAACAAGCTATCCCATCACAGTGCCATTTAGAAAGGGTTCTAAAGTTTTTCCCTGACTCTGAGCCTTACCTTGGTAAAGAGAATGAATATGGTTTACTATTGATGCTTTTCATTTTGACATAACAATCAGTCCTCTGAGCTCATAGGTCCATATTTGTGGATTCAACCAACCACAAATTGAAAATATTCCAGAAAAAAGGTTATACTTAACATGTACAGACTTTTTCCTGGTAATTATTCTCTAAACAGTACAGTAATAACTATTCACATAGAATTTATGTTGCATTAGGTGCACAATGATTTAAAGTACACATGTGTAGATCTTAGCTTATTTTATATATGGAACTGAGAATCTGCAGATTTTGGCATCCAGTGGGTATCTTGGATGAACCAATCCTCCAGGGATATTGAGGGATGACTACATGTAAAACCATTAGTAACATGAATTCCTTCATTTCTCTTGCTTGGCTTCTCTCACTTTTCAGTTCTTTGAAGATTTCATAACTGACCAGCCACATTCACTTCTCTTAATTCTGGTAACTTTTAGGTCAACGGTCAGTAAGTCATCTGACACAGTGAAGGTATCTTCTGTATTACGCAGAGCACATGGTGTAAGCTTTTGGCATGGAGGAGAATCGGTCCTCCTTCAGGGTGGGTTTGCGGGGAAACAATTCCAGCTAGAAATGATGCTTGAGCCAAGTTGTGAAGGAGATACTTTTCAACTAAAAAAAGGGAAAGAGGATCCAGGTCAGCAAGATGTAAGCAGGTAATGTCTGTCACCAGGGAACATGGGCTATTGATGGGAGCTGGGAAACAGGCCCGTGGGGCTCGTTGCCTCTGTGTATGAGCCCTGCGGACTGCTGGGATCCTTGAGAAGATTTGAACCTGGAATTGGGGAGGTCATCCTACCAAGGGGTAGGAGGATGGTCTTGGATTTGAGGACTGAAGAATAGAGAACCTGATCAGATTTGTTTTGAAAGTAACAGAAGTAGAAATGTGGGCAATGGGCAGTCCTCAACCCAAGCCTGGTTCCTTAGTTCTAAATAGGGCACCAGAATGCATGAAGATGGAAGAGCTAATGCATGAGTAGCTGGAATATATAAAGTATCGCTACATGACTGAGTCATCCAAGGCAAAAATACATGTGCTTGGTGGTGTTACCTGATTTCTACAGCTGTCCACTTCCTTAAACATCTGTTGTTGTAGCAGCTATTACCATTTCTTAACTGCTTCAGCTTGAACCCTAACTATAAATTGGAAGGATAGTAAGGGGGGAGAGTAGATCAACACTGATCATTGAAGAGGAAGAGAGCCACTTAGAAAGAAACATGTTTGTCTTCTCATAATTCACAGCAAGTCAGGTACCTGAAGACCTCATCATATTTCACTAAAACTCTCCTTTAAGAGCATAGTTGTCACTTAGTGAACAGAAATTTGGTGTATAAATAGCTACACACAGAAAGATGGATATGAAGCATGTTGGAATGTGCAATATTCATCTGATTTTATTCAGGGCATTATAAAGAAGGTCCTTGCTTCCTACAGAAAAACTTGAGCCTGAATCCTGTCTTCACCACTCAGTGATGATATGACCCAGGAAATCACATCACCTCCCCTGAGTCCTAGTCACTGTAAAGTGGGGAATGTGATAGGCCCACTTCTTAGGGCTATTGGGAGAACTAGATGAGATAGTCTTATACGAGCACTTGGTACAGGGTTTGACAAACACTTGGTAAGTTATTGTGAGGGCCGGGAGAGGGACTTTAGTTTTGGAAGCTAGCCCTTGGCCTATCCTGTCACGGCATCACACAATTAATTCCAAGTTTCTTCTATAGACAAATCTTGATTGACACTTGAAAAATAGGAAGCAAAAAAAAAGGCATGAGTTTAGTCTTTCAAGGTTCTTGAGTTGAAGAGCTGTTGGAATCCAGTGTCGGCCTTGTGTTGCAAACGTCAGCAATATAGGCCCAGACAACAGTGGGGCCTGCCAGCCTGATCAGGCCACATGAACAGGAGAGCAGGACATGAAAGTCATGAAGAGGTGGCTGTTCCTGGGCTGCAAAAATGGTGTGAATGGTGATCATGGGCAAGCAAGATAGTCGTGTGACCATGGGTGTGAAAGTCATACTGTCTTTATTCTTTAACCACTTTGTTTGGCTTGGTAGCAGCACTGCCTGTGAGGACCCTTGAGAGGGGGAAGAGGGAGTCGGTTGGATGGAATCTTACGATCTTTACATCATTTATACTCAGTGCCTCATTTTACCACTTTGCATGTTAAACTGTTCAGTGGCAAACCAAGGAATGGAAGGAAGACAGGCCTGGAGGAAAGGTTCTCTGTCAGAGCTCAACACAGTGGCTAGAAGTTTATTTTTGCATTTCATCCTGCATGTGTCTTGGAGTTATGTTTTTGGAACCTCACTTAAGAAAAACAAACTTTCCAGGGAGCATAGAGCTGGTTCTCATCTTTCCAGCATTGCTGCCTTTGGCTAATGTGATACCAGACTCTCCCAACAGTATCAGCTCTGGCATGGGTCTGACACTAAGTCTGTTCACACATGAGCCAAAAACCAGGGCCTTGCCAGGCACACATCAGGGGTGGTGGCTGATGATGAACTCAGAGCACAGCCCACTTGAATGAGCCATGCATGTGCTCAGGCTTGATCTCTACATAGGATATTTCTAGACAACTCAAGGGATTCACTCTTCTCAGGAAATGATACATTTAAAAAATATATACACACATGTATATTTAATTATTTCTTAAACCACAACTGAAAAAATTCCTTGCCACTGGGTAGAAGTAAATCTGATGAGAAACCCTATGAGATTTTATTAGTACCATTGTTTTCTTTGACTTCATGTACTATAAAGGTAAAATGACAAAAAGGAAAATAATTATAAAAGGCAAATATTTTGTACAAAAATACAAAGTTTTAAAAGCTCTTGAAGTATATTTCAGATTATTACTAAGAATTGATCTATATATCTGTATGTCTGCATATTTTTCCTACACTTGGGATTTTAGAAATGTAAGGTACTGTATACACAGTGTATAAAAGTTCTTCAACAACCAGTAACAGTCTTCTGGAGTATTCCATACTTTGGAAGGTAGAATTTGCATAACTATGATTATTGCATGAGAAAAATCTGCAATTCAGTCCATTGCACACTGGAAAATCAACACTATACTGAAGACATTTTATTTTCCAAGTCCTTGAGAAATGGCAAACACTAGCTTTCATTTTGTTTGTTTTTTTAATAATTGGTTTTCAGTGCTTTTTTTGCCCCAACCTGGTGAGAAGGTGATGAAGAGAAAGGACAGTCTTCGCCTTTGAGAGCTGTCTGAAACTTTGCTCATGTTGCATCTCAGTTCGTTACAGTGCGGATGACAGTACTAGAGGAGAGAAATATGGATGGGTGTTAGTTTTGCCTAGGGAATAAAGTTGACATGCAATTCAAACAAAGGAGAAATCTTTAGGAACAATTATATAATACATCATTTTACTTTTTCTATCTTTTTTGGTGGTACTAAGGTTTGAACACAGAGCCTCGTGCTTGCTAGACAAGCATTCTACCACTTGAACCATGTCCCCAGCCCTTTTCGCTTTAGTTTGATATTAAGATAGGGTTGCAAACTTTTTCTCCTGGCCAACCGTGATCCTCCTGTCTCTGCCTGCCAAGTAGCTGAGCTTGCAGCAGTGCACCACCATGCCTGGCCCTAATGATACTTACTTTTTTAAAGAATGTCTGGAAGTTCTTATTCAGATTAAGTAAATTTTAAGATTATGCTAATTTCCTATGGAAGGAGTCTGTACTGGGGAGATGTAGTCTTTACAATTCCCAAAACAAGGCAAACTAATGACAAATCTGGGTTGCTCATCAGGACTGATTGGAATCTTTTGCTGAGATAGCCACGTTTCTCCCATCAACTGCCTAGGTTGTGAGTTGCTTACGTTTTTGAGATCCCTGGTACTTGACACATCTAAGGTGCTTTGTAATTATCTGTTGAATGGGCATAAGGATAACTTGTTCTCTGGTTACTTCCAAAAATAATATTTAAGGATTTTGTTTACCAATAGCTTTTTTTAAAATAAAAAAAATAAAAGCTTTATTAAAATATAATTCACAAATCATTATAATTCACTTACTTAAAGTATTTGGTGGGTTTTAGTATCTTCACAAAGTGTGCCAATAGAAACTATCTAATCCTAGAAAAGAATTTCATCAACTCTAAAGAAACCTCATCCCCATTATCATTCCTTCACTATTTTCTCCATCCCCCACCACCAATTATATAATCTAGTTTGGTGAAGAAAACAAAGATGCCTTGTTCTGAAGGGGGACATATATTAAATGATCAGTATTTAAAGCTTAAAGTCAAGAAAATCTCTACAGGCCTCTTCAGCTTATGAGCTTCCAAGAGATGCAGACTGTCTCTCCATTATCTAGCACAACATGTGGATCTGGCAGCTGTTCAGTGAGCACACACAATATTGACTACTTGGTTGCCTGAATTGGCTGGGTATGTATGTCTACACAGACCAAAGATGTTAACAGTGGTGTCATGTGTTAATTAACAGTGAGCTGATGATATTATACATTATTTTTCTAGGCCAGTAAGTGTAATAATTACTGAGTACTTCCTAAATATTTAGCATATTTATTAGCTTATTTAAGAACCCTCAAAACAACCCTGAAAATACTATCATTCCCAGGAGGTTAATAACCACCCTGTTAGTAAATTGCAGAAACTAGACTAGAACCTAACTGCAGAGCCTGCACTCAGAGCCCTTGTCCTCACCAAGGCACCCTCTAACAGGACAGCAGTGCTGCAGCTCTCTCTTGAATCCCAGCAACTGCTTACCTGTCTTCCTGTCTTTTTCGCAAATGAAATTATTGATGTCTTCACACTGGAAATCGTTCCACTGCCCAGCATAAATCAACCCAGCACAGTCTTCTCCTGGCCCATGGCCATGACCCCAGTTGTCTGGCTGTCCAGCTTTCCAATTTCTTTTAACAAAACAGAAATTGAGTGTTATTTGCACAGTAATCAAGGTTTTCTTTACTCATGAGCAGCACAGGAATGTACAAAACAAAACTGAAGTATCTCAGTTGTCCTCGAATGAAGATGCATTGTTTAGAAAACAGCAGTGCATGCTCTTAATCAAGAAGGGGCAGCTGTTTTGCAGAGAGATGTGCTGTGCGGCATCTCCCTGCAGGCTTGTTGTCTTTGCCAAAGTGAAATCAGTGCTTTGAGCTGCTTCGTCATGATGCTGACACAGTTAGATGAATGGCTTTCTAATGTAACCTGGAAGGTGTGTGTCTAGATGTGCATGAATACACATGCACTGTGAGGGCACCTTTCTCTCTCACCCAGAGGATGCCTTGAACATTTTACTATCTTATCTCTGACAAGTCAAAACACCAGGGAAGATACGCATTTACAAGAGCCTACAATTACAAACAACTGGTTATGGTTCTCTGGCTAAACTGTAGATGGTTCATCGTTTTAGAAAGAAGTAACTTAGTCTCATACATTTCACTGCCTTTTTTTGGAGAGTGGGAGTCTTTTAAAAAAAACATGTTTTCTTTAGGATGAGTTCATTTGGGGATTGTTAACTTGGCTGGTGCTTGGAGCAGCACTTTGCCATAGTTCACAGTTCTCGATTCTGTTTCTGTGCATAAACGAAGATGTGTTTCTAGACATGAGGGCGAACTCTTAACAAAGACACAAGTTCATGCACAGAAGCATAGGGTTTCTGCCTGAGGACAAGCAGGCCGCTCAGGGAAGGTCAGGAAAACATGCGCAGTGCGAAGCGCTTCCCACCAACCATGACCTATCAGCCACCAGTCACCCCAGGAGAGGGCTGATAACACCTTACATCTTTTTTTTTTTATTTATTATTCACATGTGCATACAAGGCTTGGGTCATTTCTCCCCCTGCCCCCTCCCTCTCCTCCCCACCCCCTCGATACCCAGCAGAAACTATTTTGCCCTTATTTCTAATTTTGTTGTAGAGAGAGTATAAGGAATAATAGGAAGGAACAAGGGGTTTTGCTGGTTGAGATAAGGCTATACAGCATTGATACAGGTGCTATTGACTCACTATTGATTTCCTGTGCTTGTGTGCTCTCGCTTTTATCATGTGATCAAAGTCCAATCCCCTTGTTGTGTTTACCCTTGATCTAATGTCCGCATATGAGGGAGAACATACAATTTTTGGTCTTTTGGGCCAGGCTAACCTCACTCAGAATGATGTTCTCCAGTTCCATCCATTTACCAGCAAATGATAACATTTCATTCTTCTTCATGGCTGCATAAAATTCCATTGTGTGTAGATACCACATTTTCTTAATCCACTCATCAGTAGTGGGGCATCTTGGCTGTTTCCATAACTTGGCTATTGTGAATAGTGCCGCAATAAACATGGGTGTGCAGGTGCCTCTGGAGTGACCTGTGTCACAGTCTTTTGACAGTAAGACCAGCCAAACCAGAGGGCAGTGGGAAAGGACAGGTGAAGCTGACAGTCAAAGGATGAGAATGCATGGTAGAACTGCCACCTCTAACCCATATGTGTATGTGGGGATTTAAAACAATTCATTTCAATTGAGTAAATCTACTGATGAAAAGATAAATAGAGGACACCATCAACTGATGAGAGTAAAAATGGGATGATGCTTAGGAGGGAGAATTAGAAAACAGTCATTCACTCAACAGATACCCACAGGCATAATCTGAGTGGTACCATCCCCACAGTTCAGAGAACAAAGTCTCACCTGTCACAGAACTGACAGAACAGACAAGATGGGTGGATCAAGAATCTCAGACTATCACAGCAATGCCATAGAGAGACCAAGTTGGAAAGAAAAAAATAATTTGCTCCCTTGGATGCTTTTCTCTATATTCCTATCAACCCAGCAGGCCATCTCTGGAAATGTCAAAGCACTGTGACATTGTTAAAGCTCAAAGTAGAAGCACTTTGATCTTATTAAAGCATGTTTCATTCACTTTTGCCACTAATGTGAGGGGCATTGGTTCCCATTTTGTTTACAGAATTTGAGATCTGATTCCTGAATATATAATGATAGCAAATTTGATATTCTTGATTTCTCCATTAATTGGTAAACTGTATGATATGGCTTCTTTGGGTTTAGAAGAGCTACTTCATATTCTTGCATTTTCTTTTAAGTCATTTTAAGCTATGGTAAAAGGGATTTATCAACTATGAAAGATAGCTAACAGATTAAAAAGGTGGCAATCTTTATCACCTTTATTCACTGGGTCAGGTCATTGAAATTCTTCACATACAGTGTTCAAGGCTTCCTTTAGGACTTAAAAGGAGAATGCAGTTCTATGTGGGTGAGAGGAGGTGACTAAGGTAGGCCAGCATAAGGGAGGAGGGCAGCCTGAAGCCAGTGTGAGAGGCCATTTGTCCTGTAGACTAAGCACCCATAATCTCAAAGCAGCTCTCTGGAAAAGCTAAAATCCCATGAAGTGACTTATAGCAAAACCCCTTGGCTTCATTCTTAGAATAGACTAGAACATGTCAGATAAACAGAATGTATATATTCTGGAGAAGAATGTCAGCTTAAAAATAGCATCTTCACCTCATTCATAGCTAGATGTTGGAAGGAATGGCTGAAGGGTGGCCTGAAAATCCCATGGATCAATGGCAGTGAGCTAGAAACACACAAGCTCATCAGCTATTTGGGGTGGAGCACCCGCAGGATTTTGGGATCATCCTAATGGAAGCAGAGCACATACTCTCAATCCTGGAATAGCTCCTTCCAAACACAACTTAGTACTTTCTTCTCAACCACAAGAATGACTGAGGCTACATGGCAAAGAAACTTCTGCTAGGAGGAGCCTGGCCTCAAAACAGGCAAATGTGAGTAGTGAGAAATGTTTCTTTGCAGCAGAACATTCTTCCACTACAAGGGGGTTGTGGAAGATTCCTCTCTTTGTAGCTTTGGCCATTGCAACTCTGCTGAAACCGAAAACGTGAAGTGTGGACTAGGGTAGATTGCTGAATTAGAGGAAGCTGAAGAAAGAAGTTTCTTTTGGTTCCCACTGTTCGTTGGTTCTGTATTATAAAAACACGGTATGTGATACGATCCTGAGCCAGCCACACGGACGGAATGGCAGGTCATATTTTATCTTTGTGATATAAAGTTGGAAGGTGTTACTCAAAACTTGACAACATATTCCCACCAAATGACTTCCTGTGGACAGAACAGAGGAGAAAGAGGGAAGGAGGGGTTCAAGTGTGTTGTGGGAAACTCTCAGGAAGATTGTATCTCTGCTGATTTAAGGTGAGCAAACTGCAACAGAGTAACCAGGAGAGGCCTTACTGCTCCAAATAGGAGACTGAGCCTATAACATATACACAGCCCATTTGCCCAGTTCAGGCAGCCTCCCTTCACAGTGACAGTCTGCCAATGACATGTTTATTCCATCAACAGTAGAAAGATCAGCTTTCACATGCCCCTATTTTCACCAGTCTTTTTTGTCTGTCTTTTTTTCTGTGTCTCTCCTTATCCTTAATCTTTTATATGTATGTCGGAGTAGGGTGGGGCTGGGAATCGAACGCAGGGCCTTGCTCATACTCTTTATACTTATTTGAGGGTTAATATGCTCTTCTTTTACTAATCCTGTAAAGTGGAAGCTTAGCTCATTGACTTTCAACCTTTAAAAAAAGGTTTTCATATATTCATTTTAAGGATATAAATGTCTTCTAAATACTATTTTAGGTGCATCCCATACATTTTGATATGTTTTCTTTTTTTGAAACATTTTCAGATTTTCTTCGTATTTTTCTTTGATCTATGCTTTGTTCAGAATTGTCATTAATGGGGAGAGGGGAAGGATAGGGAGGGGGAGAAATGACCCAAACAATGTACGCACATGTGAAAAAATGAATAAAAAAAAGTATCATTGAATTTTCAAATATTTGGGATTTTAGATATCTTTATCAATTTCTAATCTATTTGTTTGGGGCCAGAGAACATGCTCTGTATAATTCCAGTTGTCTTAAATTTACTGACACTTGTTTTATGGCCAAGCATGTAGTTTATCTTGATGAATACACCATATGCACTTGAAAAGCAAGCATACTTTCAGCTGTCAGATGAAATGCACCATAAATATCTATATCCCTATTGATTTTTCTATCTATTTGTGCTATCAGTAAATCTCCTTTGAAGCCTTGCTCTTTATTGTATCACATTTAGGACTGGAATGTCCCCCTCATTGTGAAATGGTCTTAGCCTTTTAATGTGAGTAAAAGATAACACCTCTCACTCATCACTATCCTCATATTCCAGAAAAGATTTCACAGGCCAGCAGCTGGCTCATGTTGGAAGCTCCAGGTTAATTCAGTGAATGTTATCCTAGGACTGTGAATGAATCCCAATCTCCAGTCAGGGGACTGTTGCTGGCCAAGAATGAAGTTGTCACAGGTCTGTGGTGAAATGAGAAAAATAAGGACAATGTGTACATGTGAATATAAGATGGCCAGCTGACTTCTTGGAAAGGATTATTAGTTTTAATGCTAAGGTTTGCTAGTAGGTTATTTTTAAAAACCATGTCCTTCATCAGCAAATGAAATCTTGGCAATCCACATCAGCCTCTCCCTCTAGCCTTTGTGTTGAAACTGCACTAGTGTGCAGACCTATAGCATATGGGTACCTCGTCTAGGTACTGTCCCAAGCCATTGCAGAGTGTATTTCATGCAGTCTCTGAGAAAACCCCAGCTGGTCCTGTCCTGCTCCGGTATAAAATTCAGTGAGTCAGTTGCATGTTTTAGGGGAAATAAACCTCGGAGCAGGTCTGTATGTGCCCTAAGCTTTTGTATTTCCTGTCATGATGCTTTTTCTCTGTTTATTCCACCCTACCTTTCTGAACCTGGTCTTAGCATAAAAAAGTGAGGCCGAGAGGCAGAGGAGAGGGCCTTTTATCCTTTGACTATTTCCTCTTTAACAGTAACCACAAACCCCTAAGTAATTTCAAAAGGACCGTATGTGTGCTAGAGAAAAGGGGTAAGAGGAAAGTTGTGGCACTTAGTTCCCCTGTGGCTTGGACAAGGCCTGGGATGGCGCCAGGGCCATTGACTTCTGGTTTTTGGAAGCATTTAAGAGGACTGGTATTAATCCTTCTTTGAATGTTGGTAGAATTCAGCCATGAAGCCTCTGGAACTATGCTTTTCTCCATCTGGAGGGAGGGTGGTGGTTGTTTTTTTTTAACTCTTATTTATTACTGGCTTGTTCAGGCTTTCTTTTTCTTCATGATTTAGTCTTGGTAGAGTGTGTTTCCAGAAATATATCCATTCTCCTAGTGTGCAGCTGTTCGTAATAGTTGTACATAGTAGTCTCTTATATCACTAGATCTAGAAGCCACTGCTGGGAGCAGGAGAAAGGGAGATGGATGACCATTGCTGGAGGCCTCAAACATGAAGAAAGGCAATGTAAAGTTGGCTCTGAATAGACAGAGAAGAAAATGAAGAGACTGATACTGGTGGGAGACCCCTGAGAGTCTGAAGCCCTGTCTCCTTTCCCAGGCCACAACAGGGAATGTTCTTGTCTTCTTCACAAACCTGTTGTGAGACTTGAGTGAGACGCTGTGTGTGGATCTCAATCAGGATCCTGTACAAGTATAAGTTGTAGGTTGTAGTATTCTGTAACTCAGTACTATACTAGGTACTATACTAGGTACTATAGGACCAGGGTAATAACCATGATAACAGTAACAGCAATGCTTAGAAGTAATATTTCTCAGGCACTTGCCATGTGACAAGCCCTATAAAAAAATGCCATGTGTGTGTGTGAATAAAATTCTCATTTTCAAAATACTGACATAGTACTTTGGTCAAGTTCATTTTACACAGGGAGATAGGGAGATTTTTTGGTTGAGTAACTTGCAGGCGGTATCATAGCTTTGAGTGTTGGGTCAAGGCCCAAACCCAGCTCTCACTTGATTCCAGAGTCTGTTCTCCCTCTCTTGGACTGTACTGGCTCTTTCCCTAGTTTGTGCAGTGTTTATTATTATATGTCAAATTCAACTAGTCTTCAGTTATTGAGACCTCATATGATGTCTGCCTAATTTATTCTTGCCTTTAGAATATGATCCTGGGGAGTCTTACATCTGCATGTATTCCTTTGGGTGGAAAATGATAAACACAGTCTGTGCTGTGGCTTGGTTGCAGGAGCTGAAGCTCTCAGGGGGCTCTCGGGTAGTTGTGGCTGGGGACAAGTTCCCAGTAAGGTGTCTGGTGATGTAATCCTTCTCAGGGCCCAAGTAGCAAGGCTGGTGCTCTCATCCCAAATCACATGTTTCTTGCTGGGTCCCAAGGAAAAGGAGCAAAGTTTCACCTTGGGAGAGCTGGCATCAACTGTAATGTCCCAGCTCAATCCACACTGGGCCAATATAGTTTTTTTTTTTCCTTACAGCAAGGCTTAAGATTGTATTTCTAAGTGAGTCTAACCCAGACCTTTTCTGCATTTATGGGAGTGAGAAAAGTGAAAAAGATTTTTCATAGCTGCTCTCAACTCCCTTAAAAAAAAAAAGATACTTAGGTTGGCAAAGTGGCTCAAATGGCAGAATGCCTGCCTAGCAAGCATGAGGCTCTGAGTTCAAAGCCTAGTACTGCAATAAAATAAATGCTGGGTCTCTTGGCTGTCAAAGAAATAGATTTGTCTTTTCCTTTAATAGTCTCTGCCTCCCATTTCTGTCTCCAACCCTCTACTACTCCTGTTTTAGATACCAGCACCTGGTGTATCATCCCTGAGTTCCAGAGTCTGCCAAGGCATGTCTTCCTCTCCCCAGGGACAGTGCAGAAAAGCAGGCAGATGTCCACTTGCGCACCTTCAGGGCAGACCTGAATCCTTAAATGGCCCATCTTCCCATTTGGCCACGTCTTCCCCCACTTACTCGGATTCCACCTACTTCCTCTCATCATGCTGTTCGCATGGAGGATTTAAAAGTACAGTGCTACCAGGCCCAACGGTACATGCCCGTAATCCCAGCACTCCAGAGATGGAGGCAAGAGGATTGTGAGCTAGAGGTCAACCTGGGCTACTTGGCAAGACCCTGTGTCAAAAAAAAGTACAAAGGTGCCTGTCTACTTTCATGTACATTATAAAACCATTTGGCCTCTCCATGGTCAATACAAGTCTTGGCTAGTGCCTGTGATGCTGTCTTAGACCCTCATTTTCTCCTCTTCCAGGATGGAGAGCCCCAGGGGCTGATCTGTGCTCAGAAAGAGCTCCCTATGCCTTGATAGTCTCACACTTGGTAGAGCCTCTGCTGGCTCTGGCTTCTCTGTTTCTCAGGTGGATTTTTGTAAGTTTTCCACTTGGCATACTATAGATTTTCTAGATTTTCACATCCAGAAGAGGCAAGTCGAAAGTAGAGAGAAGAAATGAAATTAAAATGGTAGAATTTAGTCATATTTAGACTCTTGGTTATTAGGGAGGGAGCTGACAGACCTGGGTTGGAAATGATGCTGGAGACATCTGTATCTCAGAGATGTAAGCAGGTAGTAGTACAGGTGTGTCCTTTCTTGCTTGCTGCGTTTATGGAACTCAAGCTATGTGAAAGTTACAGGGAATCTTCAGACTTTTAAGGGATGGTTATTCTGGCAGTATTGGGGCTTGAACTCAGGGCCTCACACTTATTAGGCAGGCACTGTACCAGTTGAGCCACTCCGCCAGCCCTGGATGGTTATTCTGTAGTACAACTTTATAGTACACTTGAACTTCCTCTGTGGAAGACTGTCAAAAACTTGTATTTTACAATCACACTCTGGCCAGAAGCCCAATCAAGGATAGAAGCACCAATGATACTATCCTGCAGGATAATACCCATGAATAAACACTGATGTGCCTGAGGTCACCTGGGCTTCATTATCCTTTCTCATAGATGTTAAACACCTTGGCAAGAAGTAGTACTTTGTGGTGTGGTTTTATGGGTCTTGTGATTTTTTTTTTCTTAGAAATGAAAAAAAGAAAAATCCCTCCATGAAAGTGAAGAGAAAACCCTACTTGACAGCATATTGATTCTCAGTCACAGCTTCCCTAGTGGAAATACACAACTGGTACCAGGATCCAGCATTTGAGGAGGGTCTAGGATACAAGGTCATTGAGGAAGAAATTGTAGGAAGTTGGGGAAGAGGTGAAAACATGCAACAGTGAGTGCCTGACCACTAGTGTCTGGAAGTTTCTAAATACTCACTTGTAGTGTGCAGGTGTCCCGTCCAGCCACTTCCATTCATTTTCATGCTCTGCATCTGTGAGGCCAATCCAGTGGCTGTCTCTCCCTGCTATCTGCTTTTTTATCCATTGCTGAAAAATAAACCAGGCTGGGTGCATTTCTATTTCTTAGAACAAATGTCTGAAGGACTTTATTTTGTGAGGCACTGCTTTTGATACTTTTTTCCCTCTCATAAGTTTACAGGTGATGTTAAAGTAATGCTCTTCCTCCAAGCCATTAAGACAGTTCAATGAATACCTTAAAACCTGTTTCCCAGCCACCACTCATCCTTCCTGTGTTCTAATGATAAGAACAGCCACCTTATTGAGCTTTTGCCCTGGGCCAGGCCCCCTGCAGTAGGCTACATGCAGTGTGCTTTTAAGCTCCTACCACAACCAAACATGAGCTGGGTTTGGACCCATGTCTAAAGTCCAAACACCTAACTGGTCCCCTTTTCAGGCTTCCTCATCAATTACTATGGAAAACCTGATTTCCGAGTTATGTGTCCATATCTCTCTCTCTCTCCACAGTGCCTGCTGCCAACCCTCAAGCTTCTCTGCTTCATTGTGATTCTCCCAGTAGCCACTGGAAGGAGCCACACATCTCTAGGCTTGAAAAGTTGGGGCCACACGAGGACAGTTCTGATACTGCGAGTGAATGCTGTAGTCCCTGGAAAAAGCCCACGTCTCCATCTCATAGCCTTCTAGGTTTGTGATTATGCATCTTTGATATCTTTGACTCCCTGGCAAGCATCCAATTTCCAGATGTAAGCTATCCCTAAATTATAGTTTTCCTCAACCAAGCATGTACCAAACATACCTGTTCCTCTCTTGTGTTTATGAAAACAAGATGTGAAGACTTATCTTCACAGAAAAGTTTTGCATCTTCAAAAATTTCTTTCTCCACCGAAAAATAGTAGCATTTGTCTGTGAAGTTCTTCCAGTGAGGCGGACAGCCTAGGAATGCAAAGTTAAAAACACTGATTTGAAAAACACAGAAAGCACTCTGTTTCCTCACCTAGGTTTAAGAGGCCAAAGTGACAGTCCTGTGTGACTCGTGTGCTAAGACAGCTTGAGGTGTCCCCGCATAGAACCCAGGGCTGATTTCACAGACATGGACTGCAGAGAACCCAGTAGTGAAAAACACATAATCTGTAAAGTCTACAACTGGATCTTTGTTCCTCCTCACAGTGACAGAAATAACAGAAAGCAGATCCCCAGTCTTGGATCATCTGGAACCTATGAACAACTGGATCTGAGAACCCAGAACCAGAGCTGAGTTCATCAAGCAACAGAGGTGAACAAGTCTTGCAGCATGACGATAGGGAAGCTTATGTTGGCCAAGAAGGGGCAAATGGGTACTGATCCAAGTTCTACCTTAGGACACATCCCAACACTGCCTGGGACATACCCCTTCAGGAAGCATCTGGTTGGGAATGTCCTTGGAACCCACATTTTTTTGTGATCAGCTCATTCATCACTACATCACGATAACAGGATATTGACACAGTGGAAAAAGTCCTGGAACTAGTGCATGCACTGAGGGCACTCAGATGACCTTCTGAGACATGCCCCCTGCCACTTAAAGCGTCACACATTTGGACTGCATCTCATGCATGTAATTATAACAGAATGTATTATGGGTAGGGACATGCACAGTCAAAAACAAGCTATCTAACATCCTCTTGTTAATAAAACCTGTCAATCATAAGAGGGGGTCCTCTCTCAACCCACCTTTTAACTCCCCTTCAGTCCCAGCTCCAGCCAAAATTACAACACAAATGAGGGATCAGGCCTTTGAGCTTCTTTGCTCAGGCCCATTCCCATTCTGTGGGAATGTCTTTCTGCTTCCAATAAATCTGTGCTTTGCTTGCTACTTCTGTGCATTTTGTCCAATTCACTGCCTTTGTTCAATTTGCTTAAAACTCTCCAGACGGTATTAGTCCCATTGAGGAGTCACATGGAACTGGGGTATGGTCACAGGCTTGGCTGTTAACCAAGTAACAGTTTTGTGGATTGGTGGAGTGGCTCAAGTAGTAACAGCACCTGCCTAACAAGCATGAGGCCCTGAGTTCAAACCCCAGTACTGCAAAAAAAAAAAAAAACAGATAAATTTAACAACAACAACAAAAAAAAAGAGTTTTGCTAAGGTTTAATTGTCAAGAAACTAGAAGGTGCCATGACACCTGAAAAAGGACCTGAATCTGGGCATCATCACAGAAATTCCATCTGATGCCAATGGAGTTAACTGAGGGAACAGTCTGTCCCCAGGATGGAGAGAATAAAGTGAGGGCTGGATGGTCAGAGAGTGGCCAACACAGGCTGCCATGAAGGAAGTATTTGGGATGCATTTGTCTTCTGAGAGCCCACCTCCTCTAAATGAACCAGCTCTGTGACAGTGATCGGACAGTGTTTGGAGAAAAACACAGGGGCCAGAGTGACCTGCCTGGACTGAGGTTTGTGACAACAGCTGGGCATGTGAAGCTTTCAGTGCTTCACTGGCAAATAAAACTAGGGCTCATGCTGGGGGTTGGTTGGTTCAGCCATGAGCACATACACAGCCCTGTTCCCCCAACTCCAGTTAGAAAGGAAGGCTCAGATTACCATTGGCTTCTGGTGCTGAAGTTGGCTCATTCTGTAGAGCCAGGGGCTCCACGACTCCTGATGGGCCTGGGGGACCAGGAGGGCCCTTGGGTCCTGGCATGCCTGGTACTCCTGGCAAGCCTGGTAGCCCCCGTGGTCCAGGCACCCCAGGTTCTCCCACAGTGCCCTGCAGTCCTTGGAAGCCAGGAGGGCCCTGGGGACCAGGAAGTCCATCCTTGCCTGGTGGGCCTGGAGGCCCAGGATCCCCATTGGGCCCCTGAGGGCCAGGCTTCCCAGGGGATCCACGGGAGCCTTTGGGACCCTGTGAGCCTTTGGAGCCTTTGCCACCACGCTCTCCAGGAGGGCCAGCTGGTCCAATTGGGCCTCTCTCACCCGCTGGGCCGGGTGGACCAGGCTCCCCCTTCTCTCCTTTCTGTCCCTTGTTGCCAGTTGGACCAGGAGGTCCCTGAGATCCTCTGTCACCTTTTGGACCCCTGGGGCCAGGAGGACCTAAAACATTAAAAAAGAAGAAAATGACATATACAATAAAGCCTATTGTAACAATGTATGAAGCATTTATCTTATACAATCTCTAATTTAAAAAGTCTAGCACATAAAACATACATTAAAAAATGCTTGTTTATCATACTATATTATTGGCTGCTGTTATGAGCTGAATGGTTTCCCCAAAATTCCTGAGTTGAAGTATTAACCCCCAGTACCTAAGGAGGTTACTAGCTGGAGATAAGGTCTTTTTATTTAAAATTAGACTATATTCATCATACAGGGGAGATTCATAGTGACAATTCCAAATAAGCTTATATTGTATATTGGTTAGATCACCCTCACCATCCCTCCCCCTCAAACTCCTCCCTGCCCCACTAAAAGAAGTTGCAAGAGGTTTCTTTGTTCTATTTCATATAAATATATAAAGTCCATCAACCATATACCCTCACCTTAATCGCCTTCATTTACCCTCCCCCCTTCCACAAGTACCCCTTCCACACACACTGTACCTTTTTACAGTTCTTTCATTATTAATATTTAAGCCAGTGTTTAAAGGGGTTGGTCAATGGATCCCTGCTCTGAGTATAGTTTACTTTGATCTGTTCAACTCCTTCTATTTGTCTCCTTTACCTCCCACCCCCCATTTTTCAACAGCTTTCAGTACATATCCTTATTTCCTCTACCTTCACAGATGTTAAGCTTTATGATATTGTTGACACTCTATCACTCTCTTTTCCTTTCCCTCTTTCTCTGAGTTCCATAGGGTATTTCCACTGTTATAAACATGTTCTACATATGAGTTTGTATATGATCATGCTTGTTTTTGTGTATATGTTTATCTTTGGTTCTGTCTTCCACATACGAGAGAAAACATGTCTCTTGTTTTTCTGATCCTGGCTTACTTCACTTAACATGATGTCCTCCAACTGCATCCATTTATGTTCAAACCACATGGCATTATTCCTTGTGGCTGAGTAAAACTCCATTGTGTATAAATACCACATTTTCTTGATCCATTCATCAGTTGGGCACCTGGGCTGTTTCCATAGCTTGGCTATTGTGAATAGTGCTGTGATGAACATCAGTGTACAGGTGTCTCTGTTGTACCCTGGCTTACATTCCTTTGGGTAGATGCCCAGGAGTGGTATCATGGGATCCTGTGGCAGATATATCTTTAGCTTTTTGAGGAATCTTGATACTGCTTTCCATAATGGTTGTACTAATCTGCATTCCCGCCAACCGTGTATAAGGGTTCCTGTTTTGCTGCATCCTTAGCAGCATTTGTTGTTATTGCCCTTGAATATGCCCATTCTAACTGGGATGAGATGAAATCTTAGTATAGTTTTGATTTGCATCTCTTTTATCACTAGGGAAGTTGAACATTTCTTTATGTATTTACTGGCCATTTATACCTCTTCCTTTGAGAATGTGCCCATTCTTCACAGGTATGTTGATTCTTTTGGGGGCTGAGTTTTTTGAGTTCCCTATAGATTCGGAATATTAGCCTGTTTGGAGATAAGGTCTTTAAAAAGGTAATTAAGTTAAAATAAGGTCACTGAGTATTCATCCAACACATGTCCTTATAAGAAGAGATCCAACTCTGCTCCCTTAGCAGGAACCACAGGCTCTGGGCTTCACTTTCCATGTTCAAGGCCATCTACGATATTGCTAATGGATTTATTAGTAAGGCGATTTATGGTGCTATAAGAGTTTGTACTAATGGCATGGCTGAGGCCTGGGTGCTTTCTAGAGTAATCTGCTCCATGATGGAGACTTTAGGAGACTAGGATGAAATGCGTACTCTCTAATTCAACCCCACTGACCTCTGCCCACTGCTCTTGTTGGCTTCTTCCTATTTTCAGTTCTCCTGGGATCTGGGTCCTTCCTTCCATCTACTAGTCCAATGGTCCATTTTCTCTGTAATGTTCTGCTAGTACCTCCAGCCTTACATGCGTCTCGTTTCTGTTTCTGACATCCTCCTTCCATCGTACAGTCCCACCACATCATCACCACCTGATATTGTAGTCATGATCCTGGAGTATCAAGGTGGTTGTCTCCTCCCCCCCACCATCCCCTCTCTTTTTGGGAGATACTTAAAGTGACCTTTTCCTTCCTATTCATTAATTCCACTGTGTCTTTTGTCTTCCTTAAGTTTAGCTACTATGTTTGCTGTTTCCTCAAGGACATTCAGCCCTACTTGACCAGTTTTGCATCAAGGCTCTTCACAAGTTGGTTTTCTCAGAACTTTTCACATGCATTGCCTGAACCCATCTGTGAAATTCCCATTTAACCTGAATGTCCTCTGCCCAGGTCATTCCAGATGGAATTTTCCCTCCTTCTCTGTCTTTCAGTCCTTGTGTGTTACCGAGGACCACTCCCCATCTTGCAGTGCATCCTGTTTGGCAGAGTCATCATTCAGGGGTATTTAAGCAAATGCATGTGCACCACTGTTGGAAGTCCAGTGCTCCAAGGCCAAGATTTTGGGCCTCAAGAGAGATCAGAATGGAGAGGTTTTGGTGAAAGGTAATCTGCCTTGTGCCCCTCACCTTCAAAGAGGTGCCTCTCTTCCCAATCTACTTGTCAGGTGGGCTCTGGCTGCTACTGTGGAATGGTGGTGGGGAGAGCCATCTTTCTTGATTGGACTGACACTAAAGACTGGGTCTGTTGGGTCCCTCATCTGTAGGCTTATCCTGTTCAACCTGAGGAGGCTCATTTAGCCTGAGCCACTCAGGAAGAGAGGACGGTGGAGTTCTGCAACCTTTGTGTTAAAAAATAGTGTTCCAGAGATACGTATTTTGGTGGGTCTGGGGTTTGAACTAAGGGCTTTGTGATTACCAGTGGCATTCTACTGCTTGAGCTACACCTCCTGCCCTAGAGATTAATATTGGAGAAGGTGTCACATATGTTTCCTCATAGTGGATTGTGGAAGGCAATAGTAAAAAACAAACAACTGACAACATGTAGAAATAAAAAAAAATAGAATTAATTTTTCTTCTCAGCTCTTCATTTTATTTATATGATTAACCTTAGGAATTGGAAACTTCAATTGCTTTGGAAATTCTTTATCCTTTTTCTCTTAGAAATTTTTGCCAATAATTAGTTTTTCAAACACTCATACCTGGGGTGGTTGTTACACTTACAGGAAAATTAGTTTATCTTATTTTCAGTTACAGGAAATGAGTTTATCAGCAAGCATGAAATGTTAACTGTTCAGACCTTATCTCCTTGTCCTCATGGTCCGGTGTTCCAGAACACTCTGATATCTCAGAGTCCTAAAGACATACAGCTCATTTACTGTCTTTCTGAATCCAAGACCTTCCTTACTTGAGGTGACAGTTTTTCACCACTCTTATTTCTGGGCTGGGGTAGTTTACAGGGTTTGACTATTCCCCTATGAACTGTAAATGGCTGTTGGATGTCCCCACCTATTCCAGATATATACTGTTGCTTATCTGTAGAATGGTATCAAACATGGATCGCAAAGTTAGTACAAAACACCAGCAAACACTAGTTTCCAGATCCTGTGATGGAAGAGGGTGTGGATATGGGTGCAGATGCAACTTTTTGCCTTTGATAAAAATCTACAGTCATATTTGTGATCAACTTCTCAGCTGTGTTAGTATAAAAAATCCTATCTTTTTATCTAAAACATTACAAATATCCATCATACAAAGGATAGTGGTCTCTTTCTTAATAAGATAAAGCTTATCAGTATTCATGGCTGTGGATAAACTGGCAGGTGCACAGTTATTGATGTCTTTACTCACAGCTGCCTCAGCTTTTCAAAAACCACTGGCAAGGTGGTCTTCCACTTTCAGATGGTGGGTTATGTATCCTATAGATAAAGGGACTCAGATAATGTAGTTTTCTCACTAAAATGAGCTAGAAATTTCCTATGTTTTTCTTTTTTAAAAAAGTTCACCGAGGAAAAAGAGCTAAAATCATTGTAACAGTCAGCACTAGACCCTTGGACAAAGATTATTAATGCCAGGGTTCATTTCCTGTAGGACCTGGGATGCTGGTATCATTTATTAGCATCTGGGTGACCTAGTGCTGTTGGTCTTACTTTAATCTTTCATTGGGTGGCTGTTGAAGAGAAAATAAAATGAAGTAAGATGTAAGCCACCAAAATGAAATGACAGTATGAGCTTGAGCAGTAACAACTTAAAACCAGAGTCTAGAACATAGCAATGCCACATAGTGGTGTCACCTGGGATGACCATACAGAAGCACAACTAAGATTTGTTTCAAATTGAAATTGTAGCTAAACTCCAAGGCCAAGTGAGTGGCTCCCTTGCTTGGGATTCTGAAATGCCAGGGTACCCAAGTGGCTGGTAAAGCCACCACATGCCACAAGCCAACAACATCAGGATTCTGAACAAAACAACCACCTGTGTTTCCAGATGCTGGAGTTTTAGGAGCCTTGAACATCTGAATCCTCAAGCAATTCAAACCAGACAGAAGACTTAACATCACTCTCTTTTCTGCTTCAGCAACTAAACTACAGACTTTACAAAGTGCCCAACTTGTATCCTACCCAAGACAATTTTCAAATGTATTTCCCAACAAAGTTGCTGGTGCTTGACAGAAAGTAGAGAAATGACTTTAATCCTTACTGCCATCTTCAATCTTGGAGATAATGTTAAGAACCTCTTCTGGTGAGGTAGAAAAACAGACATATAATTCGGGTATTTTTATTCTCATTTAAAACTCTATTTTGAATGCAATTAATCAAACATTTATTAAGCACCTATGTGTTATTTTCCAGTCACTATAGCAAAATACCTGAAATAACTGACTTAAAAAGAAGAAAGGTTTATTTAGGTTTGTAGATTTGAAGGTTTCAGTCCAAGATCAATTGGGTCCATTGCTTTTGTGCCTGAGGTAAGGCAGCACACCATGGCCGGAAGCACAAGTGGAGCAAAATATTTACCTCATGACTGGGAAGTAAGAAGCAACTTGCATCTCACAATCCCTTCAAGGACACGCCCTCAATGACCTGC